GAAGAGCTCCGAGATGACAGATCCACTCTTGCAACAGATCATGGATCTTTCCTCCAAGATGGACAAGACTCAAGATGTATTAGCATCGCTAGAAGGAATCAAGGTCAGTAAAGATGCCAGCAGTCAGTGTTGTAGCTTCCTGTATCTGCTCCATTTACTATTACTTCTCGGCCTTCTCTTCTTCCCATCCCTTTCTTACAACACCGAATTTTCCCTTCACTTTTATAGAATTTGCAAGAAGCGATGGCTATGCAAAAGTCATTGGAAGAGCTCCTCGTCAAAGTTGCACCGTTGGGAAAGATGGTGAAGAACCTACCGCCTCACCCCATAACGCAATTGCAGATATCCGACAAATTCGACAAAGTAAGTAATTTAGCACCCATGCACGTGCTTGTATGTGTACGAGCAGGTTAGGATATGTGATTTGAGTTGTGGGTTATGGTCACAAATTGACAGCATCTGGGAATCGTGTTACCACAAATGAATGTGGAATGAGGGTACCTAGGGGCCCTTTGAGTTAGCATTTGCAAAGACGTCAAATTTAACACGCCAAAGTAAAGTAGTCTCCTTACTCTGAAAAGGGTATATTGGGTCTATTCATTTTTCTTCCATTGGGTTAGTAAAAAGTGAATAAGAGGGGCAGAGTAGGTGGAAGTATAGTAGAGACAGAGCCACATGATTTGTAGAATTTCCTACTTTATGCAAGGATTTTGACTTCATTTGTGTGTTTTCTGTTATTGATGTAGCAAGAACATTTTAAAGTCAGCGTAAACCTTTTCCATCTGCCTGTTACACGCAACATTACTTCATTCGACTCACTTTTATTGCAATGTTGCTATGGAATTGTAGTAAGTAGGTACATTTCTTGCAGACTCCAAACAGCAGACGTGGCATTAAATGCTGTGTAACATGTATGAACAATTGGACTTCTCTGCGAGAATTTCGATTGAGGTAGTCGATTGTGCAGCAATTAAGTTGAAGTGATAAGAATATAATGAAACCATGATTTCCAACGCAGAATGGGGAAAGGAGTGCTCGAGTATTGCTGTTACAAGCCTCCAGCCATCTATTTTTAGCCCTTAGCACCTGATTCAGAATAGAACATTTAGTTTGTGGGATAGAAGATGTAGAATGGGGCATTTTTGACAAAGTGCTTGCATTGCACTCTGTAGGTTCTGAACCTTATCAGAGAAAGTGTAATACATCTGACAGACACCTGGTTCTGCCTTCGTTTAGATTGACCAACATTTGCATGAGTTCGATCTTGTCGTGGGTGATGGGTTGGTAATGCTTCCACAACTGCCTGCTCCTGTCAAAA